CGAAGCAAAAATCACATTCGCTTACATATAGCAACAAGATTCATCCTGATCGCAAGTTATGCATGTTTGAGACTCAAAGACGAGGACGTTGCAATGACGATCAATGCTTATCTCAGCATTTTCGAGATCTTCCCTTAAATGGTAGATAACAGATCCCTAATTAGAACATTCTTTCTGCTTCTAACAAAATTTTAATTGACAATCTTACACAATAACTAATTTTTGTAGATCACGAACTTGTTCAAGATCTACTCTCCTACTATGAAGGATGTACCGACGAACAAAAAATTGAGTATAGGGAAGGTCTGAAAAGTCTCTATGACAAAATGAAGGAGGAAAAATGGGATGTTAATACTTGTATAGATGCAATGATTGATTATCGTACAGAATTCAACGCACGTCATCGAAGTGATTATCTCGACCCTCTCAAACACGTCCCCCGTCGGATCGTGTTTAACAAGAAACGACCATTAAGCGATCCTCTTGACTGCGAAGATGATAGAGCTTCCACTTCTGAAGAAGAGTATAGCTCCGAGTCTTTGCCAACCCCGGAAATAATAACAACAATGGACGACCAGGAGGGCTATACTCCCTTTGAACAATCTTCACCTGAGTACGGGATGGAATATGAGGAACAGATAAATTACCTGGATCCTGTCTCGGTTGAACCTCACGAACACATATTTCCCGAGTATGACGACAATTCTGAAGCGGAAAAAGATGATCCCGGAAAATTTGATGTACCCCCTTCACCTTCCGAACATGATTCAGATGTTGGTGAAGATGAAGCCTATGAAGAATTACAACAGGGCTCTGAGGAAAGTCACGTTGAGCAACCACAGGAGGTGACTGCGCTCGAGAATAAACAAGAAAATACACCGTCAAATAGTGAACCCCAAGAAACACCCCAGCCCTCATCTGGCTTCAACGTCTTTAAAGCTATCTATAGATTTTTTCACTGAGTGACACTGGATCTAATGAAACACATCGCCCAACCAAGAACATTGTTTAATTTATTGA